GGAGACTTAATGCCTCTGTTAGGACAAAATGAGCAAAAGCGCTACCATAATACGGCTGCTAAAAGCCTGACACTATAAGAACAGCTTTATTCTGATGGTGGGATTGCTGAACTGATCAGGAATCCATGTTGCAAGTCTTGCTTCCCACGGACACTCCAGAATCGCTAAGCTTTGCCTGTCCTGAAGGGTCTTCTTTCTGGATTGTGTTGTCCGAACCCCATTCAGCCCTTTTGCTTCATTCTCATGTGCCCCTAGCAAACTGCCTACAAGGGGAGTGTAACTGAGAGGCTATAAAAGCATCTTGCACAGACTGCCTCTTGGAAGTCCCTTCAGGGGCTGCCTACAGGCCACATGTATTTCCTGTCTGAAAAAAAGGAAAGAAAAAAAGAACATGTTCTTTGGATTGTGCACCCCCAGCAGAATCTCAAGGGTGTTTTTTCACTCTTGCCACTTCCTGAAGCCTTGACCCAAGTAACCGAAACACAACTGCAAAGAACCAGACCTCTGGAGATCATGGATTTCCAAATAGCCTCTCACAGCAACCAACTACTCGATGTCAAGATAAACATTTGCTGCTGAATGTTCTCCTGTTCACAATCCCCCTCTCTTTCTGGAACAACCTACTCCTTCACGCACGTGTTGTAGGCCTCTTTAAGCAACTCTGGGGACAGCTTTGTGGTGTTTAAACAACTTTGGGTACCATCCTGTGAAAGCGTAAAGGGAGAGAAAAGGATTTTCTTGCCTGAATGTTTAGACTTAAGGAGTTTTTTTGTCTAAAAAGGGAGAAAAAAAGCATAGAAGTTTCTTGTCTAACTATGCATAGGACTGTATCCTGAAACTGTCGTTTGTCTCCTGCCAGAAGAATGGCCCTTGGAAGAAGGCAGCTTCCCCTAATCTGGAGCCCCCCAGCTGGTTTAGGATTCTGCCGATGGATGAACGGACGGATGGATGGACGGACAGATGGAGGTCCTTAGAAGGCTCCAATTGCGGAGGCTTATTATAATTTGGTGCCCTGCAGGGCTATTGTAAGCAACTTGAGGCAATTTTGCCTACCTTTTACTTTTTCTGCCCCCAAATAAGTCTCTGAGCCCATTTAGAGGAGCTGTACAGGGACTGGGCTAGGGCTGGGAGGCCATAGGATTTCTCCTATCCCGGCCTGTGCCTTCCCCACCTACTGGAACACCTCCTTTCCTTCCCATCCGAAGCCACATCTGCAACCTTGGGATGCAGCCAGCACTGATCTCAGCCACTAGGAGGGGGCAAACGATCTCTGAGTGTCCCTCCCAGAGGTCACAACAGTGCGCACGGCGTGGGGCAGGGTAACTCCTGGGACCGTCAAACTTTTTCCAGAGGTTACAGAGTATAGTGGAGCCCCTTCCTGCCCTTAGAGAGGGAGGCCTGCCCATGAATGCCCTCCTTAGCAGAGGCAAAAAGGCCCAGTGCCGTTCCTCCTACCCTTTGGGGCACAATGGGGGCTTTGCAGGGGCATCTTACAGGGCGGGTCCAAGCCCTCCCCTTCCTTTCACACACTGGAATCATGAGGAAGAGTAATAGGAAAGAAACACATCAGAGAGAGGGAGAGAGCAACAATTAAAAAAGACGGTCCAAAGCACGCACCCTTTTGCCCCTTCCACTTGGATCTGGATGCTCTTCATGGGCTCTCTCTCCCATCCCCACAGGGTTGTTCTGCCCAGGAAAGGCCTTCCTCCCTGTAGAATGACACCCAGTCCATTTCTGTATGTCAGGCTGCAAGCAGAAGCCCCAGACCAGGGCAAGAAAACCGCAACCCGCAACTGCTGCATGAGAGAGCAGCAACTCCGAGGGCTGCAGAGTTTGCCAGAGGGCAAACCCCACGGCACCCAGAGTGGACACAGAGTCTCGCCCTTCATGAACAGCAAGGGCTGCCCTTCGTGAAATGCAGCACTGGTCAAAAATGGGGGGGGGGGGGCTTGAGTTCTGCAGCTAGCCCGGGTCTCCTGGGATGCCAGGGGTGCCGGCAGCCCGCACTCTCCCTCCCTCTGGCCCAGAGGTCCCTCCAGAAAATGCTCCAGCCTCCACTTCTGGTTCGCGTACTGGATTAAGGAGTCCTCTTCCACCCAACCATCCTCAGTCTCAAGCGTGAAAGAGAATGAGTCTATTAAATCCGAGGAAAGTCAGGCCAACGACAAATCAAAGGGTGCAGCAGAGGGCAGAGAAAGAAGATGGGCCGGAGGGGGCCAAAAAGCCCCTGCTGGTGAGTCGCCCCTGCTTTCCTCTGGGTCAGCTGAGAGGAGGCGGTTTTTAAAAGCTGCACGAGATAAGCTTGCTCCAGGCACAGCGACCAGACCAGGGGGATCCTTTGCATGCTGACTCAGAAGGAAGCCCCGCCACGCTCTCTCGGGGCGTTGCTGGCAGGTGCGGCCTCTGCGGTGCCATCGCCTTGCCGCTCATCGCCTTCCCGCGTGCTCCCCCCGCTTCTTTGCTGAGGGGATTTCCAGAAAGGGGGTCCTAGAACTACCAAGTCGCAGCTGGCGCAAAGCCATTCAGTCTCCTCACCACAAATAGGTTTTTCAGGCACTTCTGGACAAGGCTTTGAGAAGGTCAGTACTCTGCCTCACTCACAGACTTTTATGGGGGAGGGGCAGTCCAGACAACAGTGGTTCTTCCCCTCACCTCCAGTTTATCCTCATGACACCCTTGCCAGGTAGGACAAGCTGCAAGAGACAGTGGGCGACTGGCTGCTACCCAGTGTGGTTTGCGGTCGTGTTGGGGGATTTCGTGCAGGAATTCCCCTGCCCTACCTACCCTGACAGGCTAACGGCTAAACCGCACTGGGTCTCCCTAGCTAAGTCTGGGAGAATCAGAGATGAGCAGGTGGGGGCTGCCCTGTGCAAGACAGTTACATTGGTTGGGCTGAGCAGGTGCACCGAGGGGGCCGGGATCTGGCCACTGGGGCCTTGGGCCAGTCGAGCAGAAGAGGGGGCTTAGAGGTACTCCCTTCCTGTGCAAAGTGCCTTTTCTCAGGAAGGCCCTGCATACCGGGCTCCTGCACCCTGCACAGCCTCCCTCCTCCACCACACGGGACAGTGAGTCCTCGGTGGGCACCGAGTCCCACCAGCCCCGCTTAGCCTGCCTCTCTGCAGTGGCCAGTGAGCACGGCCTCTCCCAGCTCCCATCCTTCCCGGACGCTCTGCTTAGCCTCTGGGGCCTCCGCCGGCTGGGTGCCAGCCCCTTGAGAGCTTTGGAGAGTGGCAACCGGTGGGAGATTAAGCCCACAACATCGAGAGGACCCCCGGCCGCATCTCTGGCAGAAGTGCTCGTTAAGAGCTGCTGGTGCCTTGCCATTGTCTCCCCGGGAGAATTAGAACAGATTGCTCTTGGTGGTCCTTCAGATGTCTGGCTTTCAGCTCCCATCATCCCCAGCCATGGGGTCTGCTGGTGAGGGATGACTGGAGCTGTAGGCCAAAGCATCTGACATGCCGCAAGTTGCCCCTGCGTGGGGTGCGGAAACCTTCTCCGGACTCAGCGTGCTTTGACCTATTTCTGCCATCTCAGATCCAGCCCTGATGTGGACGAAGCTGCTTTCCTGCCCAGTCCTTGCCAAGCACAGCTCTGCGCAGCGGCTGTCCCAGACGTGAGGTCACTGGGCATGGCACCAACACGTTGGCTCTGGCAGGCCCCGCTTCCCCTCCTCTTACGCAGACAAACAGAAAGCTTATTCTATGAAGCAAGAACTGAAACCAGTCCTCCAATCCCAAATTAGCCTAGGGTGTGGTATGAGCACAGCTCTAGGGAATGAGATGAGACGGCAAGGGAGCCTTCCCCAACCCAGTGGACCGCAAATCCCATCATTCCATGTTGGCTGGGAACTCTGGAGTTACAGTCCAACATCTAGAGGGCCCCATGCTGGGGAAAGTTCTGCTAAAACTTGACATTGCTTCAGTTAAGTTTGCTACTGGACTAATTACTCTGGCAAGGATGGGATCATAGAACAGGGATGAAACATCCAAGATGGAAAGGAATTTTTCAACAAGTTGGAGCCAACAGAAATCCATTTTTTTCTTCAGACGTCCCCTAGAAATGAAACTTCTCAGAACTTAAATGCTATGGCGATGCAAACCGCATCAGCATATGAGGATGCAGCATGACTCCAAATTTCACAACAGAAATGGTGACATGCTTGTAGTCGTTCCCCTACCCCGTGAAAAGAATTAGGGTGCAAGTTTAGACAAAAAGAAGTTGTACGACTGCCTGCATGTCCCAGCCAGCTGGGAGTTGTACAGCTCCCCCCCCCCCCCCCCCCCGCCCCATGTCAAATGTAGGAAAAAGGACACAAGCTGTGACTTGCATTAGGGTGACTGAAGGGCTTGCAAGATTTGGCAGAAGCCGCATCTTCACTGAGCCCAGTCTTCTGGGCAGAATGGTACATGGGTCTTCTGCCACTGGACATGGCAGGCAGCTAGTTGAACATTTTAGGGATATTATATGCATCCGTCTTTAGGTGTTTGTTACTTGCATGCTTTGAGTGCATTAAAATCTTTAGATGTATTCTCTTGTAAATAAATACACAAAAGTGATTTGGGGTTATTTGTGAATCAGTTTCGTATTGATGCTTGCAGCCCGATGAAGGGCGGCAAGATACTCACAGATAACAAATCAAACTCGTTGGGGACTAGCAACTCTCAACCAGTTACAGAAGGAGCCCCCAGTCCAAGCTTCCTCGCGGCCAGCCGCTCGCGGGCGCCCATTAAGTGGCGCCATGCCCCTCCCGCTTGGCAGGGCTAAAAGGGCGTGAGGCGGTACCACCACAGCCCCGCCCCTTCGCCGTAAGCCCCGCCCCTTCCCCACCCGAGGCCACGCCCGCACCTCTGTGAGGGTGCCTTCGCTCCCTCCTCAGGGCCCTGCTCTTGGCGGGACGGGACGGCGTCACGAAAGACGGCTTTTGGTCGCGGGTCCCCGGCGCGCCGAGCCACGCCCCTTCGCGGCGCAGTCCCCGCCCCTCAGTATAAATTGCCGGCGTCTTTGCCACCGCCTTTTCAGTCGCGGGACCGCCTTAGTCGGCAGAGCGGAGCGGCAAGCGCGGGACGCGGAGGAGAGGGCGAGAACCCGAACCGCAGGCGCGCGCGCGTGCCGTGAGGAAGGGAAAGGCCGAACGAGGGGAGGCAGCTCGTTCGCGCGAGGGGCGCCGTCGGAGTCTCCACGCGGAGCGGAGCGGGCGAGCGAGCGAGCGAAGGAGGGAGGAAGGCAGAGCATGGCGCTCTCGCTGCCGGTCAACGGGGTGAAGGAGGGCGACAAGGAGCCGCTCATCGAGCTCTTCGTTAAGGTAAGCGGCTCCTCAGCGCGGCTGGGCTAAGCCTATCCCTTCTCTTCGGTGCTCCGCTCCGCAGAATGGTCCCCCCCTCATTTCCCTGCGTGCTCCTCACTGAGGGAGTCGGCTTGACTCGCTCTCTCCTGCATCTCCGCGGGAGCTCCGTCCCCAGCGTATTTCTCAGGCGCGGTCAAGTTCTCTGATGAAATCTTTTCTTTCCGCTCCACAACTTCAGTCTCCCCTCCCGAATCCTCTAAAGGAGCCCCGTGCGGATTATTAGTACTATTACTGCGTTGTATCCCGCCCTTTTTCTTACTGCGAGCAGTCCGAGGGGCCTTACGAAGTCCTGCTCCTCTCCATTTTGTCCTCAGCAGCTCTGTGGGTAGGCTAGGCAGAGAGCCTAAAGTCGCCCCGCGAGCTTCATGGCTGAGTGGGGACTTGAGCGCGGCTCTCCCAGGACCCAGCCCAGCTTTGGCCACGACCCACTTGCTTCCTTTCCGCCCCCCCCGCCCCATCCATTTTTAGCCATTAGGGTTGAGCAAAGCGAGGTCTGGTGAGGGATCAACCCCCGAGAAGCAGACCGTAGATTTGGGCCAGGCTGCTGAACCTGCCCCCCACCCCCGAAATGGAGCTGGGGGCAAGTCATAAGCTGGTGACATGCCTGGGGGAGATGCTGTCGGTGGCTGCTTGTCCTGACCGCCCTCTGCCCCTTCCAGAACTGGCCGTGCGCCCGTGCATTCCGCTTGCTGGGGAACAAGAGGGACAGAGGATGCTCTCTCTCGCAGTCCAGCCCTGCTTGTGAACTTTCTGCAGGGATCTGAGTGGCCACTGGGTGAATAGAAAGCTGGACTAGATGGCGTGGTCCACCAGGGCTATTTTTATCACCGCTACCACCCCATTAAAAACAACCTCACTGTGGTCTACACAGAAATCAGATCCTCAGTAACCTAAAAGATAAAATGGGAAGGTATAAAACTGGTTCTACCACAAAAAAGTTAGTTTAAAACGTCTGAGCAAATGAAGAGTTTCTTATTTTTGTGTGCCCCACTGCTACTTAGTTGATGAAATGAGGGCTTTAAAACAGTAAGTGGGGACTAATTTGCTTGATTTTTGTTTCCACCTCTCCAGTTTGGGAGATGATAATCTGCTGCATGCTGCCCCTCTAGCATTCCTTCTTAAACATAAAAGTACACACCTTGTGAAAATTATGGATCCTGTCATGAGTTCAGAGAGCTTTTAGGGCATGCTGCAATTTTTCTGTCCTGGTGTGAAATCATCAGTTCTTGCACTCCAGTCCAAGTAACCCCTCAAAATTGTTTATATTTAGTATAGTCAGTTGTCTTTGCTTGTTTGCATCCCATCATGTGTGGTGTCTTCAAGCTGGGATACTCCTGTGTTCTCTTAGCTTGGAACAAAAGCCTCCTCATAGTTTCACTTCTACCATTTGGGGCCCCTACATGTGGCTCATCTCATTCTGAAACTATCTCTTCACTGAAACCCTGTCCTTAACAGCCACACCTCACCACAGCTCTTTACTTTCTGCTTGATATGGCCTCCATTAGTATTAGACTAGTACAGTCCTCCCCTCTTTATACATCTTGCTTCTCCTTTGAGTGCACCCAGGATCTTCATGCATGGTGGTAGGTTCTTAAGTAGCATCTGAAGATGCCACTGCTATATCCTTTAAGAGCCACTTTGTACTGTTTTGTAACCTGAGGGCTTTGTATTACCTTATGCCAATAAATTCTACATATGCATTGCTTTGTGCATTTATTGTAGGAAAATTATCATAAAAGTTATTAAATAAAACTATTTGGAGTTTCTCGCAATCTTTTTAGCTTGTTCTTTGCCTTGTTCTCCCCCTGCCCCCACTGCCCTGACACCCAGTCTTGGATTCCAGAAGATAAATCTGACATTTATTTTGGACCATTTCCCTCAATAATGGTATGGGATGCTATAATTAGTGTGTGACAGGTGAGAAATGAGCAAACATATTTCTTTTGGTATTGCAGTGCTACCTTCTTTAATGGAATAGGGATGAACAAAACTGTCCATTCAGTTTTCTCCTGCATCCAGGTTTTTAAACTCTCAAGCCTCTTTCTTGTTTATGTAGAAATATACGAATATTGATAAACGTTTATTAAAAGTGAACAGAAGTATGTTCACTTTTCCAGCAGTATGCAATAGTTGCATTCAATAGTTGCAACTATTTCTAACCTGGAGAGAACTCTCATTAAAACTGAGCCTGCCAGAAAAAGATTATAGGTCTGGATCAACACCACAAATAATGCTAGAATACATAAGGATTCAAAGCTAGACTTTTAACACCTTAGCACTCTGCCTGGGTGGTTGAATCTCCAAGTTTCATTTATTTGATGTTGATTTTTAGAATAATCTTCAGATTCTTTCTATTCAGTCTGTTGAGCACGTGTGAATCTTGGTACATTCTTAACAAAGAATGAATGGAATGCTTACTGATCTCAAGAATAGGCAGAAGTGGTATAAGGCTAGCATAAACTTTGTTGTTTGTTTTTGTATCACCCACCAGCCAAAAAGCTCTCTATAGATATCATTATGATCCTGAAATGGCTTTCTTTTAGTCACTGGATTCTGAAGACTTTGCTTTGGATGATGTCTCATCATGAGCATCATGCTTCAGATAATGTCTCCTCCCCATTTCTCCTACTAAAACTTTCTGTTTTCTCGTAATGTCTCCTTCTCCTGCTATGTTAATCCATTAATCACAAAATGTCATAATCATCACTAATGTTCCAAATTATATTTCCTTTTAAGAAGTTACTGCTTTGAAATAGTATGTGGAACCTTTTTTTCTACTATTCTATTTCCTGTTTATCTCTAACTTTACACTTGTAAGGAGTGAGTCCATTAATATTGGACATAATCTTTAAAAAGTGTAAAGAGATCTTATGTAAAAACTCTTTATAAAAGCATCTATGTTTCTAGTTTTTGGTAGAAAGAAGATATCAGATGATTTATGAAATGACTTCTTGTATTTCATTACTTTTGCATGTTGCCACAACATCAACCTTTGCCTTGTTGATCACATGAAATACTCAGCCTTTAACATAGGGTGTGAAACCTTGCTTTGGGAAGCCCCTTTTTAAGATAGTGCCTGTTCTCCTATGCTCTGTTAGTAAAATCCTCATCTATGCACCTCTCCCTTTTTGCAAAAGAACGCACCAGCTTCCTTCTGGAATGTAACAGGCACAGTTGAAAGCAGACTTGAGCTGGGAATAAGGGGTGGAGAATTGATGGAGTCTGGATGAAGTAATCTTCTCCAGAAGTCATTACTTCATGCATGCTATGAATAGTCCATTTACTCATAGTTACTCATTTGCTCTTGGAGGGTGACGTAAAGGGTTGTTGGCTTATGTTCTTCCTACTACTACTGCAAAGTTTTTTCGGGTTTTTTTTTTTTTTTTTTTTTTGGGGGGGGTTTTAAAGGGTTTTTTTTTTTTTTTTTTTTTTTTTTTTTGGTAAATTTTTTTTGGTTTTTTTTTTTTTTTTTTTGCAGTGGGGGGGATTATAAGAGGCTACTTGAATTTAAAATATAGTCACTTTGAGTATACAGATGCATATATGAGTCCTTTGATTTACAGAGGCATTATCACATAACCTGTTCCACCCATGGTACTGGCACTGATACACCAGTTGAAGAAACAGGACTCCATGGCTTCTACCCCATTATCATATCTGCTATTGTGGTGAATGGTAAATGTCTTGAAAACATTTTCTGATTCACTTTTTGGAACTGCATGTCTTTGTTCATCATTTGACTTCTAAGGACCAGGCTGTAATTTTTTTAAAATGTGCAGAGTAGTACAAATACAGCTCCAAATCATTTTAGCTATCAGTAATAGGAGGGATGCGTGTTCCATGTTCAGTCTGAATGCAGTCTGAAGGAAATTGTTTCAATGGGGGAGTTAAGACTATTGCATTTTAGACATAGGTGACGTACGGATGGGATCTTTCCTAATCTTTATCATTAATGGGCTATAGCAGTGTACCCCCCACGCACACTAGGTTATTTACCAAAAAGCATATTTTAAAAAGTGGGTGACATGTATAGGAGAGAAAAATAGAAGTCACTAGTTTTCAACTGAGTGGTTAAACATAGTCATTGTGACTTCTGAAGTGCCTCTGAAAGAACAATATTTATACTCAGTCTGCTATAATGCATGGCCTTTTCCTTCTCTAAACCATATTTGTAAAGCAAACTCTAGCACTTACACTGGTGGTCTGTGGTAATAAAAAACTTAGGCTGGTGCCTTCGTCAAGTGCCTTTGCTCTTTTACAGTCTGTGCTAACTTGAAGTGCAAATATTTGCTGTCTTAATGCTGATAAAGCAGCACAAGCTAATCTTGAGAAGTGGTTAGGAATGAGGCATATTCACATGTATAATTGATAAAGATGAGTTGCTTCCAGTATCAAGCAGCAATGTTTAATACACCCATTTGGATTATTACAGAATTAAAGATCGGGATATAGTTGTGTGGCTATAGCCAGGATTAGTTAAGTTGAATTAGAACAAAAATCAGAACAAGAATGTTATCATAAGTGTGATGTACAGCCATTGTCTGTATCACAGTCCTGTGTGGATAAGTCACACTTCTCTAATTCAAGAGAACAGAAGTGGGTCTTAAGTTTGACTGAGCAGAGATACAAATACAAGTCCAGGTACAATGACTGGATATTGTAAAGTTGGAAAAAGTGCACCAAAGGGAAATTAAAATGAACAAGGGGCTGGAGCTGCTTCACTGTCAGGAAAGGTTACAAAAATCTGTTTATCAGATAGGCATTTTAATTCCCTTCCCATAATACCGGAGCCCCAAAGGGCCATCCTATGAAGCTGACTAATGCGTGATTGAAGATGGATAAAAGGTAGTACTTCATGTAACACTATTATACGTGTGAGTATGTAGTGATGATCCCCAATTTGGATGGTTTTGAAAGGAGATTAGGCAAATTCGTGGGAGATAAGGCTATCAATGGTT